AGTTCAATATGTACAGTATGTACAAGCATAGGCTGACTTTCCTATGTTCAAGGCCAGCCTGGGGTGCCGGAGACCACAACTTAAAACCATCAAGAACACTTGTGGTTACAAGCCTGCCCAGGGCACAGGGTGGGTGGGGGTCAGAGGCACTTCTCCACAGGGGAACCTGAGTCAAAGAAAGACTTGAAGAAAGAAAGATGGTGAGTGCGGAGTCTAACCAGGGACCACAGGCTGAGGTGCCTATTTAACACATCAAAGAGGACCTGACCTCCAGGATCCCCCCAGCATCCCTCAGTCCCTACCTGTTACAGGACTGGTTGGCATACCCACCCTCTACCCTGAACTCTCAGGCCCAGCGGCTGGGCTGCCCTTTCTCCAGAGGCTGTTCCCTACATAATACAGACATTTTGGTTAGAATATTTTACAATGAAGGGCCATGGGCAGGAAGGGGAGGATAGTCACTGCGTCTAGGGCCCTTATGGAATGAAACCCTGTGCCCGAGGCCAGCAGGAAACTAACCGTGCAGGGTAGGGGCCACAGAAGGCCATCATCATGGTGAGTGAGAGGAGAGGAAAAGGGAAGGAGCTGATAAGTAGAAGCTGGGGTCTGGGGGAGGACAAGATATTTGCTACAAACTGGGGCAAGGCCACCAACTCTGGGGGATGGTGATGGCTACTGAGCCAGAGTGGGCTGGGCCAGGCCCGGCTGGGCTGGGTTGGCTGAGATGAGACAGAGGTAGTCTGTTCTCTGCTCCCACTGAAGCGCTCAGTTTCATGAATTTTTTAGCTAAATAGGCCTTGAGTTTCAGATTCCAGGGCAGGGCGCTGGGCCCAGGCCTCTGAGTTCCATTTACCCTGTGAAAGCATCTCGGGCCCAGGAGACTGTTGCTGGCTTTGTGCCAGGCACATTTAAGTCTGGAGGCCAATCCCAGATGTACCCCTCCTTAGGAGGCATCTACCTTGCTTTAAAATTATATTTGATTTATGTTTTGTGTATGTATGTGGAGGTCAAAGGACAAGCTACAAGATAATCCATCAGTCCTGTGGGACCTGTCTTTGAGTCATTTCACTGGCCACCTCCCCACAAACACACCTTGTTCTTTATTCCTGTTTGTGTTTGTTTGTTTTCGAGACAGGGTTCTCTGTAGTTTTTAAGGCTGTCCTGGAACTTGCTCTTGTAGACCAGGCTGGCCTCAGATTCACAGAGATCTGCCTGCCTCCTGCTCTGTTTGTTTTCTGTAGCCCTGGCTGGCCTGAAAATCACTATGGAGATCTGCCTGTTTCTGCAGGGAGATAGAGGGCTGGGATTAAAAGCTTGTGCCACCAGCTGGGCTCCCCACCTTGTTTTTGGAAAGTGTGTGCGTGTGTGTGTGTGCTTGCGCGAGTGTGTGCGAACGTGTGAGTATGTGAGTGTGTGTGTGCACCCGTGTGTGTATGTGAGTACACCCATGTGTGTGCGCATCCAGGTGTGTCTGTGTGTGCACCTGTGTGTGTGCACCTGTGTGTGTGAGTGCAGCCGTGTGCGAACGTGTGAGTATGTGAGTGCGTGTGTGCACCCGTGTGTGTATGTGAGTACACCCATGTGTGTGCGCATCCAGGTGTGTCTGTGTGTGCACCTGTGTGTGTGCACCTGTGTGTGTGAGTGCAGCCGTGTGTGTGTGTGTGTGCACCCGGGTGTGTCTGTGTGTGTGCGTGCGTGTGCACTTTGTCTCACAGTGGCCAGGCTAGGCTGGCAGGTCAGTGGTCAGTGAGCCTCAGGGATCTGCACCCTCCCTCCCCAGCAGGGATGAGATGAGCCCAGGTTGCCCTGAGTCAGCTGATGATCAGGAAGGATCCTATTTCCATGAGCAGAGGCTACCTAAAACCTTAAGGCAAGAGCTCAGTTGGTAGAGCACGGGCCTAGCAAGCAAGAAGCCCTGGACTTATCCCCAGTACCATAGAACTGGGCATGATTGTGCATTCCTGTGATTCCCCCCACGACTACTTCCTCTTCCCTTCTTCCTCCTCCTCCCCCCTCTCCCCTCTCCCTCTCCTCCCCTTTCTCTTCTCTATCCCCTCCTTCTTCTTTTTCTTATGTCAGGGTTTCTCTGGGTAACAGTCCTGGCTCTCCTGGAACTCACTGTGTAGACCAGGCTGGCCCAGAACTCACAGAGATTCCCCCCCCCCTTGGGGCGTGCTCCACCCTGCCCCAGGCATTCCCTTAGAGAGTGGAGGCTGTAGTTAGCTGGTAGAGTGCTTGTTTAGCATACACAAAACCCAGCCTGATCTACAAGAGTGAGTTCCAGGACAGGCTCCAGAACTACAGAGAAACCCTGTCTC